TAGAAAATTTTTATCTTATTCTACCTTAAAACAACTTTGGCAACAAACAAATTGAGTTCATTTCAATTATCTGGTCATTTACTATCTTTTATCAAGTGATAGAAAAATGAGTCTTAAGTCTAGGTTCAAGGTCTGGTTCTGCCACCCAGTCATAGGTTATCTTGGACAAGTGGTCAACATTCATAAAAATGTTAGTTTCCTCTTTTATAAATTTGAGACTATGTTCATTTCATACAACTATTTTGAGGAGTAAAGGTGAGTGTAATTTTAATTACAAATGTTAGCTACTATTCCTATCATAATAACCTAATGCAAGGAAAATTACCAAATTATAGAGTTCTTTTAAAAACTCTAAATATGTTGGTATTCACAAAGTCAGATTCTACCAAATAAGTCAATGGCTCACTGGGATTGCTGAAGCTAACATGCTGTTCATAAAATCATAGATCTGGTTATCTAAAAGTACTTGTTTAACAGTAGCTCAGAAGTATGCCCTAAACTACTCAGTTGCTCAGATGAAATGGGGTTAAACAGCGATGAAGTAAATCACATCCTAGGATTTCTTTTTCATATTTCTGAGTCTTGTTTGTAAGCACACACAGAAGTAATGCTATTAAGATTTCCTAGAGCAAAGAAAGAAAATTTTACTCCATAAAAATGCATTAAAGATTTTACCTTTGATTCCTTTCCACAGTTAGTATCAATTTGACTCATTCATTAAATGTCTGATACTTACCATGAACAAGATCCCATGCTAGGTATTTTGAGGTACTAAATATATCTTTACATTTATGAGATAAAGACTTACACTAGAGTTAATAGTGTAAAATACTGTTATCTACATGTGCCTGTGTTTCTGGAATGATGAATAAACAGTCCAGGTACATGGCCCACAGAGCTCATTTTCCTCTGAATGAATACCTGTGAACCTGTCATACCTGTCATTCCTAGGCCATGTAAAGAATCAAGCCAGGAATTAGGTGCCAGTGTCCTTGCTTAGGCCCTAAACCATCAAATGCTCAACTCACCGAATTCCTCCACATTATGACTTCTGACATTTTTATAGAATTTAATAAATTAAACTGGAAAATATGTCTTCAACTTTTATTTCAATAAAACATGAATAACACTTAAGCTGTATGCTACATGTGGAGAACCATTTACACAAATATACAAAACTTCAAAAAAACCCAAAATTCCAGTTTATTTCCATAGCCTTTAAAAGGTAGGTGACACATAAAAATATCCAAAGTCATAGCTTAGGAATGTAAACTCTAGGAATACAATTATGAACAAGTATATTTACTATGAAAAGATTATTTTCACAACATGATTAGAAGTAGAAGTGAGAAGTACACAATAAATTTCATTTATTTATAAAGAGATACAACAATGTATGAACAGGATCTTACATTTAGTAGTAAAAAATGTCACACCAACACACTGGTACCCTAGAACTCTACTACAAAAACACAAAAATATCTTTCAGAATGTCCACTGTTAGACTCTTTAGATATGCATATTACAATGTATAAAACACATTTATGCTCTCTATTGAAGACTTCACCAGTATTAAACATAAATGTGAATAACTCAAGTATTAACTGTAATTTTACTAAACCACAAATCTAAAAATATAATTCATGCTAAGCAAAGGACAAGAGTTTTTGTTTTTCATGGAAAGATTGGGAAAACAACCGTATTATAATAATGCTTAATTTAAGTAACCATCAAGTGATTTTTCTTTTTAAATGCTATTGTCTTGTTTTTTTCAGTTACACTATTTAATATGTACAGTTCCTGTGATATGCTGACCTTTAATAAAGTATAGATTTATTGTGCCTGTAGATTCAAATGTTAAACTGCTTAATTAAAAATATTTGTTTAAAATTATGTGTTAGAGTACACATCTTCTCTATAATTTAAATCTCACAGTTTTAACATTTTAAAATCTTCTTTCCAAAATAAGTAAAAATCCTTAAAATTGATATTTTGGCTTAAATAATACATTTTCCTTTAATTAATTAATTAATTTTTTTAAAAAATGAGTAATGTTTGCTGATCAGTTGCTTCATAAGTGAAAGAGTAATAAAATACTGTTTCTCCAAAACACACTTCAGTCATCATTTAAAACTGAAAAATTCTATTCTTCAGGTCTATAGAGCTGCTTTTAAAAGTTCCAAGGTTGGTGAGCAAGGGACTTGAAGGTGTCTTACATGGGCTTTAGGAAGAAAAGGGAAGACACGTACCTTGTCTATTCTAAGACACTCCCTTCAAGAAAAGTCTAGTTTGTTTCTCTCCCCGTTTAGATTACAAAAGGCTAGCACTAGACTGAATTTTACTTAGAACACCACAGGCAGCTAGATGTATCCAGAGAGAGAAGACTGTCAATTTCCATACTCTCCAGAGGCTTAAAAATGTGGAATGGAGCTACAATTTCTACTCAAACTCTTTGAGTTACAAGGTTTAAGACCACAATTTTGTGCAGAAGCCTCTCCTGATAAAAGTCATATTGGATAAGGTCTATGGTGAAACTGTCATACCAAAAACTTCATAGGAAAAATGACCTATGAAAGCCTTTCCAAATTTTAAATTTAATCAGGTCAATAAGCCTAAGGGCAGCAGAACTAAGTACTTGTTACCATAGTTAACATTATCCAACATTTATAATAACTATAAAAATTTTAAATATATAATCCTTATTTGAAATGGTATCTAAAAAAATTTCATTATTCACATAACTTCACACTCCAGAATATCAACTGGTGCAAGTTATTTGAGTAAAAATTCAAAACCACTTCACTGAGAGGCTTCTTCAGAGATTAAAAATAGACATACACACACTCTCACATGCATGCAGATTGGTTGTGCATCATATAAAAGGGTAGTGGCTCTTTCATACTTAAAACTGTAGATAGCTACAGGTATGATTCCACTTAGAAGTAATAAGAAAAATAAAAATGTTACCTTTTTATTGCAAAATTAAATTGGGATTCATTAATAATTTAGAATTTGAGGGCTTAAGAAGTTATGTGCTAGTGTTACCAAAAGATAACTGGCTGCTAAAAACAATGAAGATTATAGTGACCTAGAATCTGGCCAACATATCTCCACGATTTGGTACTGTAAGACCACCAAGAATTCAAAACAGCAGACAAGTCATTTGTTTGTACTGAGTCTGTTGACCAGTGCTTCTCAAATTCTAATGTCATGAAACTCACCTGGAGTACTTTAAAAAAAAAGCAGATTCTGATTCCATAGGGCTGGGTGGTGCTAAAATTCTGCATTTGTAACAAGCAGGTGACGCCAATGCTACTTACTGGTTCCAGGACCACTCTGAATAGCAATGGTCTAGAAAAATACCAAAATGAGATTCCACTACAGTGGCTAAACTTTAAAATGTGAGTTCTCATTTATGCCATCTGAGAATAAGTTACCACACTTATTCTAAAACATCTTCTAAGCATTTCAACTTGTTTAAATGTCAACCTTTTAGCTCTTAATAATATCAATACTGTTAGTAACTATGCCTAGAGGAAATAAAAACACTTGTCATAGAGTTACAAAATAACCACATGAAATTCACAGTGATGTTTTAACAATATTTAAAACTATACATAGGATTCCTGTTAAACTAATGCAATGTATCAACTTTTACGTTTTGGTTGCCTTATATATTTTGGCTACAATTTAGGTCATTTGGAACTAAAAAACATCAAACTTCCTTATGTCAAAAGCCATACTGCATTCAGTACTATTGAATGCAAATTAGTACATGCATTCAGAAAACTCAGATTTAAACTCATGACCAAAGAACCCATGGTTCAAATCGCATCTACAATGAAAATGCTTCTGCATCCTTCAAGATTTATACATTTTTTTGTTTATCTGAACTTATCATAGGTAGATGAGGAAAATATTAATATTTTTACTAGAAGTTATAGGTAAGGACATCACTGTGTGCTGACAGTAAGAGTCCAAGAAAAAAGTGACAGCTCCCTAGGCTTCGCAGCTAGTTTCCTCTTATTCACAGTACTGCTGTCTCTGAATCCAAATGACTACTAAGCAGCTTGATTTACACCGAATCTCAACCATCATCGAAATGACCACCACTAGCATACACTAACCATTTACATCAATCTAAAATCACATACTTTCTATAGCTTCATACAATCTTATTTTTATTTTTCAGTTGGGGAGAAGTAAAAAAGTAAAGAAATATAATTAAGAAGAAACAATTATTTTTCTATACGTTGTAATTTAAATTTAAGAATACAATCTCTAAATTAGTATATCAATGCCCTTTGTCCACATATCATATTCTTAACTTTCTTTCATGGCACTTCAGTAGATGTGAAAATTATCAAATATCTTTCATTTGTAGGCAGACAATTCAGCCTTGTGTGGTTAATATTTGTGTCTTGAGAGCTGTGTTGCAAGGTTTACAGTGATTTCCCAGGAGTCTTCAATGATATGTGCTCTGAATTATAGGAATCCAAGGTAACTAGGATTCTCAAAATCAAGACGCAAGAGAAATCAGCATTATGGCCCATTACGCCTTAGGAATTACAAGGGATTTCATCTGATAAACCCAGAGAAACACTTCCAAACACCACATATACCAACAATCTGACTTGTGATAAAAATGTCCCGAAGTCAGCAATAGAAATCTCCCCACCTGTCTCCTGGAATCATCTCCTCAAATTACCTAATATTCCATTTTTCAGTGCTTTGAATAAACCATTCTAATCTTAAGGATGCTCTTGTTACAAACGTTTTTATCAGGTGCTCTCTGTACACATCACTTTTGTTTTTCAGATGCCTGTTTTTCAGACTGGCTTGTTAAAGGGCCAGCTGTAGAGTTCCTGGAGTCCCACATCTGCCTCACCCTTTAAAAAATAGTTCCCAAACTCAGAGGGTCCCTTTTCACTCTGAAGGCCAAACATTCAGAAGGATTTAAAAAAAAATTTTCTAAAAAATCATAGTCTCATTTACAATGGAGCCAACCTGCCAAAATTTATTGGCAAAGTGGCTATCTCACGGTGGCATTAAAAAAAAAAGGGGGGGGGGAGACTCAAGCCAAGGGGGGAAACCACAATCAAGAAATAACAAAACTATATTTCAAAAGTCTGCAACTGAGACATTATTCCAAGGTAGCCTTCAGAATTTAAGACATTAAGGGTTCCTCTCAGGAACAGGGATGAAAGACTGCACTTTCATACAGAAGCAAAGTGGTATTTCCAGATCCACTGGTTAGTGTGACAAATATGTTGTTAGAAATTAATCTGTCGACAGAGTAATGCTAATACTAGGAGGTCTCTGCTGACCTGAGTGATGCTTCATGGGAAGTTCAGTCCTTTCGGAAATGTAAATAAGCTTTTCTTCTTGGAGACTACAGGCAGAAAACCTATTGGCATCTGTCCCAGCCCCACAACCAACAGCAGATGATGGGTTATGTGGGACTGTGACCCCACTAACTTGTTCAAAGGATTTACTAAACACAGTAGTGGCGGTCTTGGCCAAACCATGGCTACTAGGCTTGGGCAGGGACTGGCTGGTTGTTAAAGTAAGTCTCTTCAAAGAGAGAAGCTCAAGATTCTCACTTTGGGCTCTCTGTGTTTGTTTTCGAGCAAAGTGATCTTTGCAAGATTCCCCTGTAGTTTCTTTTTCTTTTCCTCCAGTTTTGCTTCCTCCTGACCGTCTCTGGTTCTTTCCTACACTTGTCTTGTTACTAGAATTGTGAGAACTATTTGATAACCCCGACTGGCTGGTACTAGACGCAGCCCTGGAATAAAATCCCTCGTCAACTTCAGATATGTCCATCAGCTCTTCTTGACCTGTTAAATCTGTATTTCCTAAACAAAGAAATAACAAAGATTAATTAACATTAAGTATTTGAAACAATTTTTAAAATGACTAACATCAAATCAATTGTGCTTTAAAGAAATTAAATTTTAACAGATTTTCGTAAAGAAACTGATTCTAAGGGGGAGAATCAAAGAAGAAATCAAAACATCTATTTTGTAAAATTTTAAAAATTTGTCCATTATGATTAGATGACAGTAATTTAGACAAAAAGCATGCCATAAATCACACTCCATTGGCCTTGAAGAAAGAATTCTCCTATGATTCATGCAAAAGATCAGAAACAATTAGCAAAATACCACTCAGTAAACTAGTGATACACTTGATCTCGATAATAATGCAATGTAAAAGTTCCTATTAAGTAGTATTAAAATATATTTAAGATAAAAAATAAGGTTATTCTAGGTAATTTTACTAAGTAGTAGGTTTGGGTTTGTTGTTTGTTTTTTTTTTAATCTAGACTATAATTATCTCAGGCTCTATCATGTTAAAATTTTATACATTTATTATACTTCACAGAAAAGGTAAGGGGAAAAAATAACTTTAGATCTCCAAACATAAGCAGAAAAACACCTGGAATTGATTCAGAGACAATAGGTACGACCATTCCAAAGAGGATTAAGAGTCATTGAGAAATTGCAGTGCATAATTCATGCATTTGGATTATTAGGTGACATGCAAAGTTTCTGTGACAGTGCAACTGTTGCGTAAACATGCAGCAGTGGCCCTTGCCAGGAGATACCTTGGAGTGCAGTTATTAAGTGCTCTGCTAAGACTGCACTCTGCCAGGTGAGTTTATTCCATCCTCCAGGATTTTTCTTACAGACTTTTGCCTCCTGATCTCTGGCAAGCCTCTGCTCTCAGTTCTAGGCTCTGTGGCTGTTTCCTGCACACCCTGTATATGCTGAGCATCAATCTCTCCTAGTGTTCTGCCTTTTTCCCCATTCCCGGTTCTTTCTCCGGCCACATTTGTGACACTAATCTCGGGAATGACAAGGTTGCCCAATTCAGTGGTATCATTATTGGTGTCAGGTTGCTCTAGAATTGAAGATGATAAGACAAAATGATGGCTGAAAACAAAACAAGAATGCAAAAACAAGGAAAACAGAAGACTCAAAATGAAATTGGACGACTGAATGTTATGAATTAAGCCAAACATTTACACTGTAAAATGTGCAGAATTCACAATAACTCTGATAGCACTGAAAAGAATAAGCTATTTTAAAGTTTCAACTGACAAAAATTCAGGGCATCACTTTATGGTCTGCATTTTTTTCACACACATATTTGACATGGAGTATCAAACAAATATTTTTATAAATCAGAATTTTTGTTTTTAATATTATGTTCACTTGAATTTATAGCAAGCTTCAAGGGACTGTTTAAAAGTGTACAGCCAAAATCTCTAGGTCTTGTCAACACTAGGAATCACTCCATTTAGTAATTTCCCTTTCATATATTTAATATTCTTTTCTTTAGATTACCTTGAGGCTGGCTTAAAAATTCATGACGTATTTTAAAATGCTTACTCATTTGTACGTCATGGTTAATAATGCCATATTAACTATGTGTCTCACATGCCAATCATCTTATGTATTAATTAATAAATGTTAAAGTGGCTGTCACATAATTAAGCAGCTTATTTCTTCATATTCATGTAATCCCATAGATCTAAGACAGCTTGTTTACAACAATGGAGAAAAATATAAATGGATTTTAGAAAACATTCATCAAACAGAATTTATAAAACCAAATTAGCTGTCAATCTTTTATTCTGAAATGGCCATTATAACTGAAACAAGACAACGGAACCCTTTATCTATTTAATATTTTTAGACATGATTTTGTGTCTAAAATCAGTATCTATGATATAAAGATCCAACTTTACTTAAAGCTACCAAGAAAATATCTGTGGTAAATGGGGGAAAACCCCCAGTGAATATTTCTAGAATGAACCAGCAATGAAACTTAATGTTCAATATAACATAAGACAATACATACTCTTTTGAAATATGAACAAGAAATCAGTTGAAGGGACATAACCAGGCCTTTGAACTGGTTTCAGGTTTGACTTTCTGCTGAGAACTTAATTTTTCACCCTAGATATACTGAATCAGAATCTACATTTTAACAAAATCCTTAAATCGTGAACTTTGTCCCTAGGGAGTTGTGCTGTTAACCCAAAGGCAGAGCTTCTATAGCAGTTCAAATCTACCAGCAGCTCCAAGGAGAAAAGTTGGGCAGGAAAATAGGGCAATCCCCTCCTGGTGTACCTTACAGTTTCGGAAAACTACCAGAGGGTCGGCTATGAGTTGGTTCTAATTCAACAAGGGCAATGAGTGAATGAGACATGAATCATCCATCTCGGGATCTTGTTAAAGATTCTGATTTACTATATATGAGGTGGGAGAGCAAGTTTTCAGCAGTAGGTCAAACGACAATGAACTAATTCAAAGCCCTGGCTGGACAGAATCTATTCTTTCCAAATGTGTTTAAGTGATAGCATTATCAAACTCTAATGGTGCTAAAATCTGTGAAACAAAAGGTGGCAAAAGAATGGAAGCTGGAGCCATATAACACTCTATTTTTGTAGTTCCCAAACTTTGATGCTTATTTATTTATATCATTCATGGGTCTTAAAAAAACTACCGCTACCTGCCTTCTTACCCTCCCTCACATCTGTATGTCCACCTCCACCCATTTCTATTCATGAGTGTGAGGTATGATCCAGGCATTGGAATTTTTTAAAGCCTCCAGGTGCCTAATATTGCAGGGATGCTTGGGAACCATGGCTACATTCTTATTCTTTTTTTTTTTTTTAAGTTTGCTTACAAAGTTCATATACATTGTTCTTCACACTAATCGTTTTCAAATTTTGAAAACTTGAGAGCTCTCACTGTTGCCTTGGATACACCATTGTTGCTTGACTGCCTTTGATTCGAGAATGACTCAGCAACCCTATAACAAAAGGCCTGAAGTCCCTCTACAACTATTGACATTTATCAAAGTTCATAAAGTCTCCAGACGCATGTTGTTTAGGAAATGGATGTCACCCCTGCTTCCAAACCTGTCATAGTATGTTGTTTTTATGTGCCATTGAGTTGCCTGCGATGTACAGTGACCCTATATACAGCAGCTCTGAACCCTTCCTTGTCCTGAGCCAGTCTCTCTAATTCTGACACACCAACCCCCACTGCCCCAGCTACTGTATCAATCCATCTCATCTGGGGTCTCCCTTGGATATACCATACCCACCAGCAATATGTGCTTCTGGAGGTCTTCTTAAAGGAGCTCAATGTTGTCTTGGGCTAGTGGACCAATGTGTTGGTATACTTCTTTCCCCTTAACTTAGTGCTTAAAAAGCTTTTTTGTTTTGTTGTTTATTTAAATAAAACTTTTATTTTAAATTGGTTTACTTACAAAGTTAGTATATATTGTTTTTCACTGAGGATCTTCCCCACTTCTGTTATCCAAGCCTTCCTCCATCCATCAAATTGTGCGACCCTATGATTAACCAACAGTCTCCCCATTGTCAACCCTCTACTCTCCCCTTTCTCCCCCTGGATCCTCATACATGGCTACAATAATGGTCTTATCCAGTATTTTCATGGAATGCTTCACAAATTTGTATGGCATCCTTGCACAGGGGCTATGCTAATCTTCTCTGTATGGTTCCAATTTTAGTATATGTGCTGCCAAAGTGAGCACTTTAAAAGCTTTTGACTAACAGTTCTTTCCTAGATATTCCAAAGCATGCTGGTGAAGAAGCAGTACACTGTTATTTCTGTATGACCCCCAAAAGAGTTTAAGGAGATAAAAAGTTCCAACCAAACCTATTCCCAATTACTAAGAGCTGTCTTTTAATTGACAACAAATAAAATCTTTGCAGTACAAGCCAGAGGACACTGTGACTGAGAGTAAATCACCTTGGATCTGCTGGGTGACAGCCAAGAATTGTCCATTTACATTGCAAAAGCAGTTTCACAAAAGAGCTACTAAAGAAACCTTCAGTCAAAAAATAACAACAAAAAACCCCAAAACAACAAAACCCTTCTAAACTGTATAAATTATCCAGAAATAATTTTTAACTTTAATTTCCATTCTAGAAATGTTAACTCTTCAACTCACTGAAACATCCCTTGGCATCTCCAAACCAAATCTGTTGCCTTCAAGTAGATTTTGACTCATAGCAACTTTACAGGACAGAGAATGGTCCCATAGTATCTCAAGGCTATAAATCTTTGTTGACGTTGACTGCTACTCCATCAGTGGAGTGGCTGGTGGGGTGGAAATGCCAGTCTTTCAGTCTGCAGTTGAGTGCTTTAATCATAGCACCACTAGCACCCCTCTGACATCCCCAAGTATTTAATTTATTTGCTTAGACTCCTGGTCATCTCATAGAAAGTAATTTACTTTTGCTGAACCAAGAGTTAGATCGAAACAGTCCAGAAGAAAGAGAATTTTATAACCTGTTGTTCTCCATTATTTCTGTGACTTCATTCCTATGTATATGATTCAAAATACCCCAGTCTGCAAATCCCACTCTCTTAATGATCTCTTTGCTGTTCTTAAACCATAAAAGCACTTTCCCCAGATAACTCCATGACTAACCGTCTTATTTCCTTAAGGTCTTTAAAATATAAAATTAACCAAAAGCTCCTCTTGATGATTTTTTCCCTAATCATTCTATCAAAAATTACAATCACTCCCATATTTCATATTCCTCTCCTCTATTTTGTTTCCTATCACTTATCACTCTCTAGCATACAATTATTTCTCTCCCATGAGAGCACAGTTTTTTGGTCTGGTCACTACTGTATAACTAGTACCTAGAAAAGCAGCTGGCATACAGTTGTTGTTATATGCCATTGAGTCAACCATGACTCAATGACCATGACTCAACAGCTCTGAACCCTGTCCAATCCTAAGCCAATCTCACTGTCTCTGATACACCTGCCCCCATTACCCCAGTTTCTGTGTTAATTCATCT